GCCGGAAGGCATGAATGTACTCAGATCGAGCTAATATACTTAGGACCAAGTCCACAGTGTTATAACTGCATTCCCTCGAGTGACTCGACGGTGTACTCAAGTTGATCCGACTCCAAGTCAGCCAAGGAGGCCTTGGTGTTGTGGATTTGATCCTGTGCGAAACCCTGAACGGCTATAAGGCTTGGGTCATTCTGACTGACTTCAGCCATTGCTTTCCACAATTCCATCTATCTGTATTAGTATTAGGAGGCCTGAAAACAGAAACAGGAGACATACGAAGGCCTTCTCGCCAGGAATTGCTTCTTTGATATCCGAGTCCGTAGTCGCGTAAGCATACAAAACAAAATTTCGCCAGGACCAATTAGTGAGTCCCAGAAACTCAGACTGGTCCAAGGTGCTCGCGAGCAACGCAATCTTTCGGTACGCAGTGCTCGAAAGGCGTTCCACAATCATCTGGGCGACGTGTTGGATGCGATCAGTGCCTTCAATTTTGCAGTCCAGGAGGATTGTTTGAATGAGAAGGGCGGCTGAATGCTTGCATGTCTCGGGAAGGTCCTTTTCCCCATTCATCGTAGCCTGCGGGCTTGGAAAAGGCTCCATGTCGGTAGGAATGGCTTAGATGCGGATGGTGGCAAACGAATTGCAAGAGAACCTGCCGTAAGGTAATCGACATGAGTGGGGGGGTGCGACCACTCTTTAATCTTGGAATGAAGCCGGCCTCGATCTCGACGCCATTGCACACCCTGGGTGTTTCCAACAAGCCGAATGCAGGAGAAAGGTCGATGCAGATATCCTGGCTGATTATTTCGAGTTTGACGAGGGTCCTTCGGCCCAACACCAACCCCAGTCGCCCCTAACCGAACTGAGTCGGGATACGACTTGAAGTCCAGCGGAATTCTAACGTGCGGTTTCCGACCCAAAGCCACCTACGGCCATTCCTGAGGAGGCTATTGAAGCTTCTTTACCTAGGCGACCATTTGAACGCCTCCGCGAAGGCATGGCCGAGGTTGCGAGTAGCACTCTGGAGATTAAAAAGTCTCTCATGCTATACTGTACTTAGATGTTCATGTTCCCTTCGTATCCCGTATCTGTGAAGGCTCTTCATTTTATCATCGACCTTCCTTGCTAGGCGGAATCCCGGGTTCAACACCCGATCGCTATGTCCCCTGTCTCAAGGGAATACTCCCGATGGTTTTCTGACCTGTGCTTATCGGCGCGCTCTTTACAGACTTCGTGGAAAGAGGCATTCTCTTCGACAAATTCCCTCAGGATCCCTGATCGACAATACCTTTATGCTTTGCAACTATTGAAGAGATTACTTCCCTGCGATGCCGCCTCGGATGAGAACAATGAAGAGAGAGATGCGAAAATCGATCCGAATTACGGTTAGAGTCATGGACTCGATCCTCAAGCGAACCTGCCGCCTGGTGAGAAGTCAGCACGTTGGCTTCTTCGAAGCAGGCCACATACGGTTTCTAATCAGCATCCCTTTCCTATGGAACGAGCCATACAAGAAAACACCGCGGCCTCTAAGGCTCGGGTGCATTAGTCAAGAATACCTTCGTAACTCGGCAAAGATTGGAATCGTATTACTAGCGATGGCACAGAGCCTTCTGTATACCGGTGGTCCTTTCAGACGATCCTTTTCTGATACCCACGTATGGCTCGTCGCCGTCGGGCGAGGTGAGCTCGTACTTTACGATACCGTAATAACGAGAGAGCGACTCGCAGCATTACACGAAGGGCAAACTATGGCGCCGCTCAAGGTCAATTCGAAGAGGTTTTTGACACTCAGAGAACTTCGAACAGCCTTAGGAGACATCAAAGATAGGATCATCAAACCCCTTTCGATTTCAAGAAAGGCGGACGACGAGATTGTCCTAGAGCCCATGGATAAATGGCAGAGGAGTGCGGGCCAGAAGCAACCTGAGCAAATCTGCCTGACCGCTTCAGCAGACAAATTGCGGAGTGGCTTGGAGAAGCCCCATATCGATCGGAATGCAGCTGAGTCTAATCAGTCCGCGAACTGGGCAAACCTTATGACCTATCGGGCCAGCTGCGAGCCAGAAGTCGAGCCAGAAGTCGAGCCAGAAGTCGAGCCAGTTTGGGGAGATGTGGTGTTACTTCAATTGATGGGAAAAGGACAGCACCAAGAAGTTGGTTACCAGGCTCATGTCGAGGTTTTGCCCCGGCTCAATGAGATTAGTACTCACACTACGCCTCCGGCTACCATATTTAGCTCATGGGCGAATATCGCCGCGAACTGGATGTATCGCTGGTTTCGAGCATAGCAAATACCTTCCTTTATGGAGACAAATCTTCTCCGAACAGCCGCTACTAGGGCGCTGATTCTCTTTCCTCCAAGTCCCCCCCTTCCCCCCCCTTTTCTCTTCTTATAGCCATGGGAAAAGCTAATTTGCCTCGCAAAAGTTTGGTGTACCAACAGTCAGTTCGTGATCTAAGCCTTTTTTCTATTCCCTAATATTAAGTATATAGCAAGTACATCTATCGATAGACCAATCCAAATAGCTCGTCGAGAGATGAATGCGGATACTTACAATCAGAGGGATGACCTCTTAAAGCTACATCTAAGGAGATGAATAGCGACAGTCTGCGCCTCTTTTACCCAGACTCTTAATCAATCGTACTCGTAAGTCGCATGAGGTCAGACAAATTTCTCCCTTTCCCGCTGGAATGGCCGTTCCGACAGCAATGACCCTACAACATTCCTTTTCGAAGGTTCTCGATTCGTATGATGCTCCTTTCGTATAATAGTATCTTAGGTCGTATAACACCGCGGTAGACTTGAGCGGCCTAGACCTGATGCGTTGTTGTGAGCTTCCAGCTGAACATCGATGTTCCAACAGGTGGTGTACTTGATGTCACCTCGATTGGTCAGGATGTGAAGGCTTGTAGTAGGACGCCCCTTACTCCGTACAGTTCCGTACCCAGGTGCCAGAACGCGCGGGCGTCGGGATGCCCGCATGGCCAGCGGCACGCTACCGAGTTCCCCGGCGCCGCTGGGGGCGTGGATAAGGCGGCCATGGTCAGACCCTCTTGGTGGGCACGCTGAGGGGTGGGGCGTGAATGCCACGAACGACGACGCTGGCTGATCTGCAGGTTCCTTGTTCTTGGGCGGGCTTCGATGTTTGGGGCGCTGGATTTTCTGCGAAGTGTTGCCACACATAAGTGAGGACATAGGCGAGATCGACCGATTGCGTGCAGTTTCGTAAAGGGGGCGTCACTTGAAAAGACTGGGTTTCTATGGCGGGACGGGATGTCGTAGATTGATACGGTTGGCCACTGTCTTTGTGATGTTTTATTCGATTGTGTCACTCGAACAGGAACCAAGAGGGAACGAGAGTTCAGTACCTGTCATAGGGAGTCATTGGTATGTCTAACGAAAGCAAGACCGCCTATTAAATCTCAAGGCCCCAACCCTTGCAGCTATTGCAGTATTTTCCAATGAGAAGCCCCCAGAAGAGAGACGAAAATCTATCCATAGTAGGCTGTACTAGAGGCAAGGGTGATGTACAATGGCTTGAGTTATCACAGGTTCGGCTTGTGGTCCCATTTTGCCCCATGCTGATAGGGGTAGCTGTTTATGTCGAGTTCAGGCGAGACAATCTAGCTCCATCCGGGGGGGAGGGGGGCCTTGGTATCAAATGAACTGTTATCCCGGATTTCTGCGGACCCTTTCAAGCCCGACAAGGCCTTAATATCGACGACTCGTCAGGGATTGCCTCCCATGGCCGTCGTCGACGGTGTATCGTTACCCTGAGCCTGGACGAAACGGTTTTGCATGCCGACAAAAACAAGGCTGTCCGCTGCTTGCTCCAGGACATACGTAACACACAGAAAAAGACTACGAGCCCAGGAGTACGAGCGACAGTCGCAGCGCTAGCGTATGGACCGGATCAGTAGGTTACGCGGATACGGCTATGGATCGATGTGTAAACAGCGTAATAAGACGGACTATTTCTTCCTTCTGCAAAGAACTTATAGCGCTTCCTACATGTGTGTAGAGACACCTGATTATTCTTTTCCAATCTTTGAACTATTCTCTCACGAGAACAATGATACTTCAAGATATTCTCGATTACTCGCGTCTTTCTTGCTCACTCCTGGCTGCCGCAGTATCACTTGTAGCGCCATGGAGACCGGACCGTCGAATCTCACCCATACGAGGCCTCATCTGGGCCTGCTACGCGCAACTCATCACCATATGGACTGACGCGATTGTAATCTGGACTTTGTCCATACAACAAGACTCGAGCACAGTTCCTGCCTGGAGCGGCGTTCTCTTTGCTGTCGCAGCAGTCTTCCAGGCAGAAGAGCTCTCTGCCGACTCAACCCGTGTCTGGACACTTTACAATTGGGCTTGGTGTCTGGGGTCCATTAGTGAAGTCATGGGCATTATGCGGGTCGTTATTGCTCGAGAATTAAGAGTTTTGGAATTGTTCTATCTTTTCGCGGCCTCCTTGAAGCTGGTGCTCTACGTCTTCTTGCTAGGACGCGTTTTCTTTGGCAAAAAACATAGATACAACCGTCTACCTCAGGATGACACAGGCGCCCCGTCGGAAAATGACGAAACCCGGCTTGAGATCGTTCACAAATCAGAAACCAACATGTGGGACTGGATCAAACAACTTCGTGTCTTTTGGCGGTTTATGTGGCCGAGCGATAATTTGAACATGAAAGTAAGGCTACTTTCCACGTTACTGCTGAATCTGGGCCTGGAGGGGCTTGCAATTTGGACTCCGCAAGCTTTCGGCCGACTTATCGATGAACTTGCTCACGGTGGCACATGGGTGTCTATAGGGAAGATTTTGATGTTCTGGATTGTTTCTCAAGTTTTGGAATTCTTGTCCAGTAAGCTACACACACGGTTGTGGCTTACTTTGAGTGCCTACCGGGCAGAGGAGCTCGATAAAACGGTTTTCGCCAAAGTCATGAATGCGGACCGGTCGTTTCATGCGAACAAAAGCTCGACAGATCTCATGACTTCCGTTGACAAGGCACAAGGCGTTGAAAGATCATTCGACGGCCTTATGACGAACGCCCTCGATCTTTCATTTGCGATGTGCGTCACTATGCCAGTTACAGCATACAAGTTTGGACAACACGTTATGATTGTCATGATGATACGTCTGGTACTGGCATACCTGAACTTCAAAAGGGGATTAGTGAAGGCTCTTCGAGCAAATGCAGAGTTCATGGCAGTTCATCAGGAACATAGGCAGTCTCAACAGGACACCATCAGCGGTCATGAGACTGCGTCTGTCTTCGGATGTATCGCTGATCAGATCGCCAAGAATGACACAGGAGTCGGACAGCTCCATGAAGCAAAATTCAGATATCACCTCAAAGGTTTTGCGGCTTGGGTTTATGGGACCGCTGCAGGTGAGGTGAGCTACACGATCGGCGTGTTGCTCCTGTGTAAGCAGATATTTGTTGGAGCCTCGACGGCCGGAGATCTCGCAGTCTACACTTCATATTGGAAACGAACACTCAACCCTATACTATCGATATTGAAGGAATTTCAAGAGATTGCCATTGTTTTCAAAAACGCTGAGAAGGTTGCGGACATCATGGATATGGTCCCTAAAGAGCGAGGGAGGGAAAATCTCAAAGTCACACAGGGCGCAATAGAGTTCCGGAACGTCAATTTCAGCCGCGGCAGCAAAATGGTGCTTCAGAGCTTCGACCTTTACATCCCTCCAACAAAGAAAATCGCCTTTGTTGGGCCTTCTGGCGTGGGAAAATCAACCATCCTCAATTTGCTGGCCGGTCAGATCGAGCCCGATAGCGGCGAGATCCTGGTGGACGGCCAGGACATCACGAAAGTTGATTCTGAATCGTCAGTAATCTAAACCTCGCCTTTTTGGTTCTCACTAACAACTGAGTAGCATCTCAGACCAAATAGGTATCCTTCAACAGGACCCTCATATCTACGACGCTACTATCAAATATAACCTTCTTATCGGAAAACGGGACGCCACGATGGAAGAGATTCATGAGGCCTGTATGAAAGCAAGAATTCACGATGTCATTATGGGCCGTCCGGAAGGCTACGACACCCGGTGCGGGGTTGGCGGAAAGTAAGAAGACTGCGTCAATGAATTGTTACAAGCTAACATGTCCAGGACTCTATCGGGTGGAGAAGTTCAGCGGATGGCGATTGCAAGGTTGTTCCTGAAAAAGCCAAAAGTCGTGCTCATAGATGAAGGTACAAGTGCTCTGGATGCAGCAACAGAAGGCTTCATAAAGCGAAGCTTTTCAGAGACTTTCAAACCTCAGACTATGGTCACCGTTACGTAAGTTACTATTTCACTGAAGCCCGCCGGATGCTAACTTTGTCAGACACCGGCTATCGACGGTCAGGCAAGCAGACGAAATCATCGTACTTGGCGATAAAGGGTCAATCGTAGAGAGGGGCAGTCATGATGCGCTCTTGAAGTTGAAGGGCGAGTACTCGCGATACTGGGGAGAGCACCTCGGGGAGCATATGCCAATCGAATCACAGGATACTCTGTCTTGATGGAATATTCGTAATTATTCCTTCAATTGATCATTGTGTATTTTGCTGAAGTAGAAGCTCGAAACTTTGGGTAAGCTTCGTAGGACTAAGGTTTGGTGAAGCCGTGCGAGGCGGATGATGCGGATTACATATTTTTCTCATTCACCTGTGGTTGTATGTAACCGTGGAAAGCCCTCTCTCGGAGGTGTCTCAGCCTTTTCGACGTAACTGATTTGGTGGTGGGCTTTAGGACGTTATGGGGCGTTTAACTCTGCACTCAATCTACGTCGCAACTTTCGCCGGCTTCAGGCTAAAAAAAGACCTGGCGCTCAAGTTGAGCAGTAACAATGCCCTGACCAAGTCTACCTGCGTAACTCTTTGGCACGTGTAACCAGGTAACCATTGTTCTACTTGATTTGATCTAAGCTCAAGTCTTCTTTTTATCATTGATTGAAAGGTCATTTTCGTCTAAATATAATATAAGTACTAACGCGATCGCGATATAATTTCAAATTGCCCCTCTCTCTTGACATTGTGCAGAAACCAGAATTGATAGGTCGTAAGAGCAATCGTCATCAAAATACCTTGCATGCTTGCTATGCAAAACGAAGCTACGGCTGTAATCGACCAAATGCCGCCATGGACAGAGTATACGTTAATTATAATGGTGACGATAGCTGTCAAAGAATTGAGGACACCAGGCCTCTATAAGAGTCAGCGCTGAGACGGCGGGTCTCTAGTTCGCAACTTACAAAAATATCCTACCAATCAACCAAACGTAGTTGTGCCTGAGGGTCCACCACAGCCACAACAAGCCCGCGAAGCCTAGAATGCAGGCGGCGGCGGCCACCCAGAGAAGAGGCATATTGCGGATAATGTTCTGAACTAGCCGGCCTGATTGGGAGCTTCCGAAAAGCCCGGTGCGACCGATGGAGCCGAATGTCCCAGGAAAAACCATGAACCCGGCTAGCAAGAGCCAGGAACATAGTGCAGCTAAAATGTTGCTACGTAAAGAGACGTCGTTTGATTCTAGCACCATCCTGTCATACGTCGATTGCGAGTGCGATCTGTCGCCATTTTGTATCGGCTCGGACTCTGCTTGTGGCATTGTGCGACTTCTTGTTTTCTAAGGCAAAGTGTGGAGTGGGCCGGCCGTATTGCATGCTGGCTCCTAAGTATATATACTCAAATGGCGGCTTCTTTCGGCCGTTGGTACGTTTTGGGCCGTGCAATTGGTGCTATTTTTGGTTCACATCAACAAGGTACTCAATAACACGTTGTCCCACCGCAAATCGTCTCCAGGTAACCCTCTTCGGTCTGCCATCGCAAGTCAAGATGAATGTCATTGACTACTACGGATTTTGTGTTAGCGGCGTTGTCATACTCTTGTTTGTGTTCAGCTTGATTTCTTTTCTTCGCGAAGAAGCTGCATATTTACTTTCAACGTATGTCGCTTCATGGCTTCCCAACAAACTACAGAGAATGAAGAGCAAGCTCTCCACGGTGGAGCTAAGGAAGGTTTACACCGCTCTTGCTGTGATCACAGTTCTCATCGCTATTAATACGACAATGGCGTTCGCAGATGGGACTGGACTGGTGCATCTTCGCGATCAACTCGGTTTAATAGCGGTGCTGAATCTCCTCCCACTATACATTGGCTTTGGTGTTACCTTCATTTCCCGAATCTCTCCTCTACGAAGAGACATCTTTGCCACAGTCCATCGTTGGCTTGGTCTTACAGTCATAGTCGAGGTTTCGGGCCACGCGCTTGCAGCATTGTCCAGCGGGCGGTTTTCGTTCCAAGATCAGAGAGGCGTAGCTGGTTTGATCGTGAGCAGACTATATTTTGGTCAAGGGACAGAGTTAACTTTTGGCTAGGCTGGAGCAATCCTGATCATCATACCATTCCTCAGCCTTCCCTGTCTACGAAAATTGTCACACGAAATGGTATTGAACCTGCATCGTTGCCTTGCTGTCAGTGAGATCGTTGCTATTTGGGTGCATCTCCCACCTTCAAAGGCCTTTGAAGGCCCGCGACTCTATGTTCTTATACTCGTGGCTATCTGCGTCGGCCTGAAGTGTGTCGATATCGCGAGTGCATTAAGATACGGAGCAGCGAAAGCGGAGATACAGCAAATCGCTGGGCTTTTTGAGATCCGAGTTTGTCTCTCGAGGCGTTTCACAATTCGGGCAGGACAGTTCGTGTACCTCTGCATCCCGGCCTTGAGACTGAGCCATGCATCCTTCATTCAATATCACCCATTCCAAGTAGCCTGGAGTTATCGCGACGAAGATGACCATGATATACTCATTCTGCTTATCGAACCACGGAATGGATTCACCCGGGATCTTGTTCTGGCGTCTAATAGAAAATATTTTGCTATCGTGAACGGCCCTTATGGTTTGCTTCCGGAGGTTGATCTATTCGGAACAGTTATTCTTTTGGCAACCGGAACCGGCATAGCAGGGCAGCTGATGTTTATGAAGGAGCTCGTAGTTCGTTTCACCAATTGCGATGTCAAAGCCCGTCGATTTGTGCTATTATGGGAGATAGAGGCCGAGGGTGTGATTCCATAAACCTGGCGAGATACCAGACCTATTCTTCCTCGCTTATTGCTGACAAGTTACAGTTCATCGCTACTGGGTAAGAGACTGGATGGACGAGCTTTTGGCGTTGGATACCGAATTCGTAAGTTTTTGTGCTGTATTCATGGCTCGCCTAATATTGTTTAGGTCCTTGATATGCAAATATTCATACGTGGGAGGTTTTTTCGCAGTAATACCGAGGGTTCTGCACTTCCACTCGGGGGTCATCAGCGGATTAAGCTAAATTACAGCCCAATGGACATCCAGGGAGTCTTGGCCCAGGAGATCCATAACAGAAAGGGTAAAACCCTGGTTTCTAGTAGGCGACCCAGAAAGCCATTGCGTGATGAAGTTAACGGTCCAGCTTGTGTCGACAAAGATAGTCTACGGAAAATTGTCATTTCACTTGAAGATGAACTGGATGGAGGATTAGATGCGCATCCAGATATCTTGGTTTATCAGCTTGGATTCTGGCCCAGACGTCTGTGCGAAAAGACGTTGTAATTTATTACTGAGACTCAATATATAACTCAATAGCCTACTTTTCACTCTCGATTCTCTCCTTCTCTTTCTTATAAGTGATGAGTGCAAACCGAAGCTTTTCCAAGACGTAATCGACCTCTCCAGCTAGACCATCGCCAATCCGTCGCATGTTCCCAAGATAGGCAAGTTCTTCTCGAAGCCTTCCATTCTCTCTTGTCTTCTGCTCTATCATTTCTTTCAAAGAAGGCGTTGGCATTGTTTTCAGGGTCTGTAAGGCCTCATTTGATGTATCCAAGGCAACTGTGGAGCCATGAGCTTCAGCAATGGCCAAGTCGATTCGGCTTGGTCGAGCCGGACATTCGTATGAATGGGAAGGTGTAGCCATGATTCTGATTAAAGAAAATGAAATTTAGTCCTGGCCGATCGTATCAATTATAGTCAACCAGATGAGAAGTGAGGGTCCTTTTCTGGAACGTTCCAAAAATAGACCATCTTTATTTGAATGTAGACAGTTATATAAACCACCCCATAGATGGTGATTAGCTTTTGTTTGCACATGTCAGCCATCTCTCACTCTCATCTCAGCCCAAAAGCAAAATGTCCAAAGACCCTCAGACACCTCAATTACGAACCAGGCCAGTAGAATCACTACTTAGGGAGGCAGATAGGGCACTGCATGAGGCTCAGGGAAAGGTGAAGGAGGCAATCTTTTCCGAGCTGAAAGATCGATTAGGGCGCGATCAAGGACAATACCAGATGCAAGCTGAGATGATCAAGAGCACCCGGTTGACCTCTGAGATCAACGAATTGCGCCAACAGAATCAAAGTCTGCATCATCAGAACGAAGAACAGTCGAAACATCTGCATAGGATGCAGGCGGAAGCTCTGAAAAGCACAGAAGAAGTGAGCCAAGTCCAGCAAAGCAATTATCATCTAGTTCAAGATATCATCAGAATCTCTTCCGAAAAGGCTGCTCTCAGCCAAGAACGCGATCAGGGAAAAGAACAGCTTGACATTGAAATCCTCGAACGTCAAATCACAGAACTAGCACTCGATCAGTACAAAGATGAGGTCGCTCAGTATAAGCTTGAATTAGACGAACATAGGGCTTATCTTCAACGAAAGACTGGGGAGGTAAGGAGACTCGAACAAATTACAGAGGACCAGCAGGAACAGATCATTCTCTACGAAGGGATGTTAATAGATCGTGAAACTCTGATCGCGGATCTTCAGCACCAGCTTGAGGTGGAGCATTTAATTCACACTGAGTCGCTTAGGGCTATT